AATAACAAAAAAAAACAAAAAAAACAAAAAAAAAAAAAAAACTAACTTTGCATAATTTGTCTGTGTTTTACATTCAGTATTTTACATCATCATCAGATGCCAATGGCAGCCAGGCAGGCAGGCAATTCGCAGTCGGCAGTCAGTCAGTGTGCCAGACACTGTCGTGGAGGAAGTTGCATATTTATGAGCTTTTTTCATACATATTATATATAAATAAATAAAATTTTTGTTTTTGTTCTGCTTCAGCTTCAGCTGTTGCCGCTGGCTGGGGCGTGTGCGCTGTCATGATTATGAAATCAATTGAACATATGTTTGGTCGCATGCTCTGGCCATAAATCAGAAATGCTTAGTCAGACAAACACACACCAACACACACGCAGACACACACAGGCACACACCTATACTTATTACGTACCACTTGATGAGAACAAAACAAAAGACTTAGGCAACGAACGCGCTGCTCGTGTGCTCCCAATTGCATTTTGTACGCTTTTCGCACTGCACTTTACAACACTGGCCACCAGCCGTGGCTTGTTTGTGTTTTGAGCGTAATTTAATTAAATTTGCGGAACTAGTTCTTTTCTGTTTCAGTCAGTTTAATCCAAAATCATTAAGAAAGGCAGCAGTAAAGAGAGTCAGGAAAGTGTTGGTAGATGTAGTAGTAGAAGGAGTAGAACAAGATTTAATAAAAGTAATATAGTTCGATTTAGTAACAATAATAGTAGTCATGCTACAGTTAGATATTAATATAACAGTGGTAGTAGTAGGAGTGAGCATTTTAAGCTATTGATAATAGCAGTGAAAATTGTATTAGTAGTAATTTATGTATTAATATTTGTAGAAGAAGTCAGTTTAGTAATAGTAATAAATGAAATATATTAGTACTTTATATATACTACAAACAATATCAGTAAAGTAGTAGTACTCTAATACTTTATACTATATTATACAATATATTTTATAAAATATTTATGGTAGCAGTATTATTTATAGTATGAGTATGAGTTAGCAAAAGTAGGCAGTACGTAGTAGTAGCTATAATTGTAGTTGCAGAAGTAGTAGATTAAATAGTATTTATAGTAGTACAGTGCAGAGCAGCAGTAATAGTAGCAGAAGGGTTATAGCATAAGAAAAGTAAATGCAAGGGTACTAGACATTGCTTTACTTTTGCTCCTTTGACTATTTTTAATAGTAATTTTCATAGTAGTTGAAGATTGATTACTAAACCACTTACAATGTTTTGCAAGAGTAGTGTAAACATAAATAGTCAGAGTGGAAATAGATGCAAAAGAGATTAATAGCAGTACTTGAACTTGTCAAAAAAATTAAAGCAGATAAATTGAATACTCTTTAGCTGTACAAATAACTCCACTGAAATTGATCTTTTATTATTATTATTTTTTATTATTATTTCAAGTTCACTGTTCACAGGTAAATTTAAACCAAACGTTTACAGATATATTAAAATCAAATGTTTACAAAACATATTTAAATCAAGCAGTCCGTTGCCCTTAAGGCGATCACATTAATTAGATTTCTCAGATCAAATAAAATGAACATAAATAAACATAAAATATGGTTTACCCAAAAAAAAAATGGGTATTTTATTGATTGCTCAACTGGAGCCAATTCGAATCGAATTTATGCCTAAATTTCAAAGATTTTAATGGAACAAGTTTTGTTGTTGCTGTATTTTTTATAAGTTCATATCAATTTGAAGCGAATGCGACATTTTAGAGATTCTACTTTCAGAACAACTTTTGAGCTTGAGCTGTGGAGCTTCATTAATTTCCTAAGTAAGTTTTCTGCCAAGCTGCTAACTAATCGCCCACGAGCGCACACACACACACACAGACGAACACACATTTATGCATATATTTGACTTTATGTTTTGATGCTTCCCACACTTGAGATGCGTCTGTTGAGATGGAGACCAATGACCCGCTGTGTGACCCAGCAGCCTTGGCTGCCTAACCAAAAAAAACAAAAAAAAAAAGACGAAAAATAAACTTTATAAAATGCTGAACAAATTAAGCAAACGGCAGGCGTTGCATGTGCAACAAGTCATGCAACAACAACAACAGCGGCAACAGCATCAATAGCAACTGCAATAACTTGAATTTTGTTGCAACGCACATTTACCACACACACACACACACATACACACTTCTACTCATATCGAAACATACACATACATATGTACCTCCTCTCTTCCTCGCACTCTCTTTCGCTACATGCATCTACTTCACATGCACACATACAAAAAAAGTACTTACTCTCCCTCCCTCTGCACTCTATCTCACTCACTCGCACTCACACGCTCTGCCGCCACTCTCCTTGCCCCGCCCGCTCTCTCTGGTCTGGTCGCTGTGTAAAGTTCATGGGTCGCTGCCAGCTGTTTTTCAGTTTCTACACTTCGCTGCTCTCCACTCTTCGCGTTGCTGTTGCTGTTGTTGTTGTTGTTGTTGTTGTGGTTGCCACTGCGTTGCAGTTTTCGCTTAAGCTACTCAGGCGCTTCAGGGTTGCCAGCTTTTTTTGTTTTTATTGACTGCGTCAGTTCGGTTGGCTTGTTTTTTTTTTTTTGCGACCTCATCTGTCAACAGAATTAGAAGCGACAACAACAACAACAAGTAAAACAACAACAACCTGCCAGAGTTCAGTCGGGCATTTGGCCTACGGGATTTATGTACGCAGGCATCGAAGTCGAAGTAAAACACAACAAAAAAGTGTTATTATTATTACATTTTTTGTTTCTGTTTTATTTTTGTTGAGTTTTTTCTTATTTTTCATCTGCTACAACAACAACAACAACTCGTCTGTCAACTTTTTGTACGCGGTCAAACAAGTGCACTTTAGAAATTGCTCATAAATCATAAAACTGAAACGAGCCAAGTTATTTTTTTTTTTCTTCACTTAATTTTTATACCCTGAACCCATTTTCAATGGGAAATCAGGGTATAATGGTTTTGTTGAAATGTATGTAACAGGGAGAAGGAGGCGTGGCAGACCCCACAAAGTATATATATTCTTGATCAGGGTGACGAGCTGAGTTGATTTGGCCCTGTCCGTCTGTCTGTCCGTCTGTCCGTCTGTCCGTCTGTCCGTATGTATGAACGCGTCGATTTCAGAAGATATAAGAGCTAGAGACTTCAAATTTTTTTTAAAATGTCCGTAATTACAGCGCGCATATCAAGTTTATCATTAAAAATCGATAACTCATCCCGATCTTTTTTTATCGATAAAAAACCTTATCGAAACCCAGTTATAAAATTATATCTTCTACACCTTTATTGCTAGAGTCTCCAAATTTTTAATGTATGCTTATATGCAATTTATACAATTTCGGTTTTTGTTAAAATTTACCCCCCACCTCTAAATTCACCCCCTCACCCTCACTTTTGTAAAAAGCGTATTTCAAATACTAGAGACTTGTGCTTTGGCAAGTACATGCATATTCATGTTATAATCATAATCTAAAAGTTTCATGAAGATCGTACGTCCATAAAAAAAGTTATTAAACAATTAAGTTCTCATAGTAAGCGCACACTGCAGCCCATGCGTGTTTATGCGTGGTTGCTTGTATGTGTATGTGTGTGTGTATGTGTGTGTGTGTATGCGTTTGTGTCTGTATGCGTGTGTGTGTGTATGTGTGTCTATATGCGTGTGTGTGTATGTTTACCTGTGTGTGCGTACGTGCGTGTGTGTGTGTGTGTGTGCGTGTTTCTTGTGTAAGCTGAAAGTCGCGAAAAAGTATTGAAATATCTATTGCTCCAAGGGTTCAGGGGATCTCGTAGTCGAGCAGTCTCGACTAGAGCTTTCTTACTTGTTTTAAAATGTAATGGAAAAAAAAAAACATTTTTCAATTTGAAGAAGTGCCAAGTACCTTGGCATTATAGTCATTGTCATTATCATTTATATGTGATTTTTATTATTATTAACATCGCCTTACACTGAAATCTTAAGATATGTCAGCCGATATACGCATCTTACACCTGTAGAAAATTATCTGAAATCGTTTTTTAACTTTTTTTTTTTTAATTTTTAACTTAATGGAAAATTAGCATTACTAAAGATTCGAGGAACCCAGAAAGAAAGAGACAAAAGAAGAAGGAGACAGGAAGAGGAGGGAAATATGGCAAAGAATGTGAAGGAAAAAGAGGATGGACAAGAAGTGGATGGTCAAGCAGGGCAATTACTCTATATCAGAAATATACGTTCACATCGTAAAATATTCATGTTGCTGTCCTATTAAACTTGAACTTGAACTTTATCTTGAAGTCTGAGTGTACTTCAGAGAATACTATATATTTTGACCCACTGTGAAGTTCGAAACTTGTTGAGATTACTATTAGAGTATTAAAGATGATAAACCATAAACAAGCACTGATTATAATTATATAGATGCATTTAAATCAATTAGGGAATGTGTTAAATCGAAAGAAAATCGTTTTATTCTATAGTTGTACAGTTAGACAGTTAGAGAATTGCCGAGTGAGCTACCGTTGCCTTTATTATTTTTACTTTGACTTATTAAACAAAAAAATATTATTTCCCCAGTTTGAGAATTTTTATTTTTTATTTTTTTTTTTTTTTTTTTTTTTTTTTCATATTCTGTAATTTAGTCACTTTTGAAGCCCTCCACAGATAGACTCATATTATATGATATGGTAGTTGCGAAAATGTTTAAAATTTACTCCAAAGTTTCAAAGCCTAAGCGACTATTATTAAGTTATTAGTCGGTTGCGCCTGATTGCACGGCTCTCCGTAGTTATTATTCCGCGTATGTGACAGACAGAAGTAGGCGTGGCAAACTCCATAAAAACAAAATATATATATTAATATAAATATATATATATGGAAATAATCGATTGATTTGATCTAGATATATTTATCAATCCGTGTGCCTGGATATCAGAAAAAACTCGATATCTTAAATTTAAATATATTTCCCATATAGATATATGTCATTCCAAACAGTTTCAATTTAAGTCAAATATCTATTTAATGACTCTATGGTCGATCAGCATAAACAGATATACTGATCAGTGATCAATTAGTTTATTATGATCTATTATATGAACAGCTAATTCACGCGATCAACAATGAACTATTGTATAGTTCACTATGTACATATATAAATTAGTATCTAATGAATTATATACTTATATATACTATAAAAGCAAGATCTTATGAAGTAATTAATTTGAGGATCTCTCTAGAATTTCGTTAAGTGCATTTATTGCGTTATCTGTGGAGCCTCTTATCTGGCCGATCTGGCAGCAGCTCAAGGCTAAAACCTAAGCGCTAAGACAATGAGGTTTCTTTTAAGCCAAGCGAAAGGCTTCTAATTTGTTAAGAGGCTGCTTCACTATGGCCGAAATGGATATGGATATGGCTATATGGCTATACGGTTATGGTTATGGTTATGGTCAGTAATTAATGCATAGAGACTCGTGCCGACGTCGGCGTTGACTGCGACGCCGACTGCGATAGCAACTCAGATTGTTGCTATATTGCGATTATGTCTTGGACAGCCGACTGCTGCTGCTGCTGCTGCTGCTGCTGCTGCTCATCTTCACAGCTCTGATTGCTGCTCGTCGTTGTTGTTGCTGTTGTTGATGATACCAGTTTGCCTCAACCTTGGAGCAGCGACGACAACAGCAACAACAACAACAAATATGTGTATTTTTCGTACCCAGTACCAGAGCTAGTACCGAAAGCGCCGTGAAGAGCACTTCTTGAGGCCCGTCCGGTTCGGTAGCAGCAGTGGATGCGGATGCGAAAAAAAGTGAATGTAAAGCTAAAAACTAAAAACTACAAGAGAAACAACAACAACAAGAAGAAGACCACTTGATGACGTTGGCCGCTATCCGCTGTCCGCTGTCCGCTGTCCGAGCGCGTGACAGAACAATAAACTAGGTTTATTTTTTTTTTTTGGCCAGGTGAGGGAGTGCGGGGTAGGTGTGGGCAGGTGAGGAGCTGTATGTGACTGGCACCAACCAAAATATTTGAATTAGTTTCTTGAATAAACTAAGTTACAATTAAGAGATTTATATACATACTTATGTACATCTATATATCATCTATCTCTAATGGATCTTCGCTCTTCACTTCTCAATGAAGACTTTGCCATTGAATGATGCAAATTTGGTTCACCTCAATTGCACGCTTAACTGATTAATGATATGTGCTTTGGCCAGCTCAATAATCCAGAGGGTGGTCAGAAAAATTGGGAGTTCTAGAAACATAATAAAAATAATATTTATATATAAGTATATATCACTTATAAATCCATCAAAATATAAATACATATATATTATTAATTATATAAAAAAAATATGTATACATTTATATATGTATATGTAATTTCTTAAAATATAGAAGCATTTTTAAAGAAATATATAAATAAATATAAAAATAAATATTCATATATATACATATGTATAAAATATATATATAAAATATATGTACATATATAAATGCATATTTGTTTTCATATTTATTTATATATTTCTTTAAAAAATAATATTAAATTTCTTAATTCAAAAAATATATCTTTTAATATATAATAAATACATTGAAATTAGAGAGGTGGGTGAATTTTGTATTTAGTAAACTCGCTCACATTTTTTGTTCCGTTTGAAAACCTTTTTAGATTGTTGATCATTAAAAATATAAGAATCTAAATTTGCAAAAAAATCAAACGTCAAAATTTTGTTTATTTATTCTCTTATGTTAATTTTTCTATTTTTATGCCCTTCTTTCTAATTCCGCGTATCATTCTGGGTAAACTTGTATATAACTAATGCGGGTTTTATTATCAGTGTGCAACAAATATTTCGAAAAAAATTTGTTTTCATTTATTCATGGATGACTATAATCTGCCTTTCAAAGTGATTCCCGTCCAGATATACCACACTTATTTTTAAAATTTTTACTTTACGACAAATTTTAAATAAGTTCAGTTCTATATGTTTTCGAAGTCTAAATTTAGTTTAAAATCCAAAGTTTTTAACCGGACTTAAATCTCACACTTACTAAAAATTCAATCAGATTTGAATTAGATTAATTAGATCCCGTCACATACATCAAAAATGTAAGCTAAGTATTTCCATGAGCTCGTTTTTGGCGCTTACGTAACTTTTAATTAAGAGATAATTAATCTAAGCACGAGTCCAATTGGAGCTGCCCTCGGCAACAGGCGCTTCTGATTGGCGAGCAAGACGAATAGAGAGAGAGAGGTACAGGACAGAGTGAGAGGTAGCGAGCTGGTACTCTTGTATATTTGCCGGACGACCTTAGCACATGTGCTAAGACACTTTAAGCATTAAATTTTTTTCAATTTTTTTTTTTTGTGAATTCCATTTGAAAATGTGTTAAATATTTGCAGCTGTCAATTTGTGTGACCTCTCTCTGTGTGGCCCAACTTGAAGGCAAATACAAATATTAATTTAGGTCATTTTTAGGAAGTGTGTGCGGGAAGCTTTGAAAGCTCTCTGCTTAGCATGGACACAAACCACACGCAAGCTCGCATGTTACTAGTGGCAGCTCGCTCTAGCATACACGGCAATTGCAGTGCACACACTAGCTGTGCTGCTCTGCAACGCGTTGAAAATGCATGGAAAGCAGGCAGCTGAAATTTCTGGGTGCCTGTTAAATGACGCGCGATACAACAAATCGCACTACACAAATTTACCGTCATTGTTCGAAAACAAAGAGCAGAAAAAATCCGCTCGCAACTCGCATGAGACAGACAGCGAGTGTGTGTGTCGTCGCACACGTTGCATTATGCTAGCCGTGTTGCTTGGTGGTTCGTAGCGTGCAGCGTAAATGTGGCGCCCACTTGTTGCAAGCAAACGTGGCAGCTTGTTATGCTGGCTTGGCTGCTCTGCCTCTTGCCGATTGCCCTTATTGGGACAGAGACAAAAAGCCAATTACAAAAACCGAAATGCCAATAGGCCTCTGTGTGCCCTATCAACAGCATCGCATCAAGTGTGCGGATGGAAGGGGGGCCCGCAGTAATGGCCAATGCGATATGATTTTCAACTCCACCCACATAATTGACAAAGGGAAATATGCACATGCACCCATGCTTGATGCATGCAGGCATGTAGTTAAAGTTAGTGCTAATGAAAGTCGTGCAACAAATTGTGGCGTTCTTTTACAAAGTGTAAATTAATTATGAAAATAATTGAGCCGACTAATCTCTGTTCACATATTTATATATGTACATATGTATGTATGAATGAATGAATGTATTTACATAAGTGTGGTAATTTTTAATACTTTATGCCAATGCCGCGATGTTTGTTTCCATGTGTATCGATATCTGTTAATGCTAATTAGCTTATTTTTAGCTTATTATTGCTTAATTATTATAATCAGCTAGTCAAGTTGTTGACAGGGCTCATTAATAAAGTTTTTAATAATTTTTACATATTTAATAAGCATTTATAAGTTTGAAAAAATATGTAGTTCCACTCCTACCGATGATCACACACGATAATGAAGTACGATAGAATACGGCTACCGGTCTCCGCTCTATTTAAATGACATACTACACACACATGCATCATATGAGTAAACACAGCACGTTCCATACTTACATACATTTGCATACATATGTCAAAGCTATTGCTGTTTTGTTTTCAAATTATAACAACTCACATCGAACGCACTTGGATTGCCTGCAACTCAAATTTAGGCCAATGGAACAATGCTGAATGCGATCTGACAGTCAACTCCACCCACAACATGCTATGTGAGACGAAAACAAATGGTTACTAAATAAATTACAAAGAAATTGAATTGGCACTAATACTAGCAGAACAAGCTGTGGTGGGTCGGGTCAAGTGAAGCAGCAGAAGGCAGAAGTAGCATGCCGAAGTATTGCAATTGCCCAGCCGTATCGATGCGGGCCAGTTTGTTGAGCTGATTACTGGCCATTGGGCCGGTCTTTATCCCTCTTTAAAGCATTTCTGGTTGGTCTGCGCCTGTCGCACCAGTCACAGTAACAGTAACAGCTGACTGCTGTAGCTGGCCGGCCGCTATCATTTAAAAACAATACAGAACACAGCTCTATACACACACAGCACTGGTAGTGGCAGAGGCAGAGGCAGAGGCAGAGGTTGCGTGTGTGTGTGTGCGCGCGTAAGCGGTGAACGCGCCAAACGGCAGCAGCTGAGACGGCAGCCAATAAGAGTTGCCATCCAACTATATCATGGCGAGCACCTGTGAGAATTGCTGGGCGCCTGATGTTCGGTTTGTGCAATTCGACAACACAAAATTTTCGAAGTTCCACTGGGCGACGGCTCACCAACCAATAAAGCGATATTGCCAGGCACGTAGTCGGGAGTTTTTCTAAAGGGGTCTTTAACTTTGTGTATTGGCGAATGTGCAAGTAGTAGAAGAATAATATTTTTGATTTTTGCAAGAAAATATATAAGCAAACTGAAGAGCTGTGCAGTTTTAGCCAACAAGAATTAAATATTTGATATATTTAACATATTTAATAATTTGTGTCTTATACATTAACACATTTCCATTCGTCAGCTGTTGCGGACATCCCCTTTGCATGCGCTACTGGTTTCTCGTATAGAAACAGCGCTGCGACCAACCACCAACCAAAGCAGCGGCAGCAGAAGGCAAAGGAAGGCACTGACTCAGCATGAATTTTCGTTTCTGCATGTGCGCAACTGTATGAGTGTGTGGGTAAGTGTGCGCTTGTGTGTGTGCTGTGTTCTGTTATTATCTCTCTCCATGTGTGAGTGAGGGACTGTCGGCGGTGGGCGAGTATTGGTTTGTTGTCGACTGTTCGATAGAGCATCGTCGTGCATCTGGTGAATTATGTTCGCCTGGCTAAAATATCGGTAGTTTTGCTCGCCGCGTGACGATGGCGCGTGACTTGGACATCGCCAGTGATTGGAATCGGTATCGATAACGTGCTTGAGGGAGTCATTCACATTTACATTAAGACTTCGAATTGATTGCCAGGAAATAAATAAATAAAGTCAAGTGCGTTCGAAGGCATTTGAATGCTCTGCGTCGGCATATGGAATGTTGAGTGAGGAGAGTTGACTGTGAGGATCACCTATACATATGCATATATACGAATATTATATAGATTTAATTAGCTTCTGTCTGACTAGGCTAATTAGCTCCAGTAATCTATTCAAATTTGTACTCAATTATACAACTGAGCAGATAACACAATCTTTATATATATATATATACTTTATATTGCTTTATGGTGTGGTGATGAAAACAGCTGTTTAAAAACAAACAGTTGATTTATTTATTATTAAATACTAGAGATGTGTTGCTGCCCCAAATGAAGTCACGCACGTTTAATTTAAGACAATCACGAAATTTCCTTTTGTGGAAAGTTCATGGTAAATTGTACTTCTAGCTGGCCTGTATATTCAGGAAGAACCCTTCTGTGCGCTTCTCATGCATGCACCGCATAATTCCCCTGCAATGAAGTTAATTGAAATAAATAAAAGATATTTTGTTTGTTTATTCGCTAATTTGTTTATTTCTTCACATATGTATAATTTATGTTAATTTCTTGTTTGTGTTTATCCCACTGCATGTTGGCAATGCTCATATGTATGTATGTCCACTGTAGCCCAGGGCGGGGCTCGTTTATCCATTTATCATAAAACTTATTAAATATTTATCAATTCTTAAATTCAATTGCTTTTCCTTTTTAAGTTTATTTATTTATTTATTTTTGTTTTGAAATAGAAAACTATTATTTTGTTCTATGTTAATTGAAATAGTTCTTAGTTATTTATGTTATTATTTATTTTATTTTGTTTTTGTTTTTACTTTTGTTGGCTATCAATATTTTGGCTTGTTGGGTCGATTGATAAGGTATGTATATGTATACATATATATTTATTTATATATATATATATGGATGTATGTTCTGGATGAAACTTAAAGTTGTATTTGTTTTTGTTTTTACTGATGTTGTAGTTGTTGTTTATTGGTTCGGTGTGTGTTCAATAAATAGACTTTGTTCCATCTTTACATATTTCTTTTTGTTTTCTTTTTGCAAAAAGGGACGGTAAAATTACAATAAAATCATTTTGAAATTTATGTATTCATCAGTTGTTTTTGTTGTTTCTTGTTCTACAAATTTCATCATAAATAATTTGTATAGGCAACTGAATAAGTTCAGTTAATCTCAGTGTATGTGAGTGTGTGGACGATGTGTGTGTGTGTGTGAGTCTATGTATGCATGTGTGTGTCTTAAATATAAATTCAATTTAATGGCTCGGTAAATTTACATAATATACGCTCAATGTATATTTCAATTTGATATTCTTACACATTTTTCCAACTAAACATTTTTGAAACATAAACATTCTAATATTATTATAATTTCATAGAACTTGGCTGTGTTTGAAATCTCTACTTTTTGTGTATTTAATTAATTTGCTACTATAATATAATAATAATTATTATTAGTTTTAACTTTAACGTTTTTTAATTATTCAATTTTTTTTGTTATTTTAAGTTGATTAAGCTGCTTGTTAGTAGTAAATAGAATATTCTATTTTTAAAGGCTGTGTTTATAAAATAAAAGTGAAAAAGATTGTGGCTAAATAAATGTTGTTTTCATATCAATTAATTTATTTTATTTATATTTTTTTATTAAATTAAATAATGCACAAATTATAGACTATGGTTGCAACAAAAAAACTTGGTTTTTTATGTAAATAATATTTTGATTGCGAACAGAAAATAATTAAATTTACTACAATTTTTGTTTTCAATCAGAAAAATGTTTCGTCTTTGAGACGCCGCTGCCATTGCTGATAGAAATCCGCACAACAGTTGCTTGCCAAATATTTCTCGTTTCTTTATATAAATATAGCATATAGAATTTACATATTTTGTTTTTGTTAAGCTTTTCTGCTTTTGTTCTTCAACAAAAGTTATCTCGTATTTACTTTTACGTACATTTTTTTTTTGGAAATACTTTTCCAATTTGTTTTCTTTTCTTTCTTTTTTTTTTTTTTTTTTTTGAAAAATACTTTTTATAGTCAGGCTATTAATACATGCTTGCCAATTTACATATATATATACATATATATGTTCATTTCATCATTTCAAATTTTTTTCTTTCGCTTTTTGCGCACAGCGTTGATAACAAAAATCAAATTTCATAAATCAATCAACGCGAAAATGTTAACAAAAAGAAAACTAATTTGAATCAAATACATTTGTTGATCATGTTTTTCTTGTATATAGAAAAATACAATTATTTAGTTGATATTTTTTTTTTCAATTTCAATAGAGTTGTTAATTAAATTAATTGGACGTTTAAGTAACTAACCGTTAATAACTGTTTTGTTTTCTTATGTGATTTTCTTTTTTTTTTTTTTTTTTTTTTTTGTCTAACTAAGGGCTCAATAAATACAAATAGAAACAGATACAAATAGAATATAGTTATATATCATTAAATATAGGAAGTAGAACAAATAGCTATAGCATCCTTCACAAATACATTCAAAGTATTCCATGTGTGTGTTGTATGGGTCCGGGCTCGTCTGTGAGTGATTCTTCAGCTACTCCCAACGAATTTACAACTTAAGCAAAGTATAAACCAAGGCCAAAAGCTTACGCTGCACGCTGATCTTATGTTAGAATGGATTCGCATTGCTGCTCGCTGGATTTCTGCTAGATGGACGTGTGCTGAATGAGGATTTGCCGCTGGTGCCGCGCTGCGGAGGCATTGGACGACGCACATGACGCATCTCGCTGTTGGCCAAATAGAGAGAATGATTAGCAAAGCGTTTAAGATATTTGGAAACGAGTTAGTTTGGCAGCAGGGTTTTATGAACAACAATTAGCAACTACAATATAAATATTATTTGGTAGACTATTATTTAAGAGCTTCTCTCAGTTCTTGCTTTGGTTTAGGCATTCGTTATCCGGAAGCAGCAGCAGCAACAGCAACAGCAAACGCCTTAGCGTTTCGCGCATGCAAACATTATTTTGCCCCAATGCTTACCAAGTGAAGGATTCTTGAATTTTGTATAAGGATTTCATAACTAAAGACATTTGCTTAATTGAATTATTGGCATGGGACTTTGAGTTCTTGTGTTGTGCTTCTTGTTTAGCGACCCAAATGCACCCACCGATCCATTTCCATTTCCTCCAAGCGCTGTGTGAGCGCCAACTTTTGTTGCACAGCCAAGCGCAGCAGCTGATTGAGCGTCTTCTTCTCCTCCTCTGCAGCCTCCAGCTGACGATTCAGATCATCCACCTGAGTTACATACTCCTCGCAGCGTGCAGCGAACATGGCGCGCAGACCTGATGAGGGAGAGAGAGAGATTAGTTTTATAAATTGACATTATAATTTACGTTTTATATTTACTGGAGAAAGTGGCTGCATCTTCCTTGAGCAGTCGCAGCTCATTGCGCAGCTTGGACATCGTGTCGCTCACAATGATTTTCTCGTTCTCATATTTGGATTTGAGATTTGTGAGCGCCACCTCGGCGGTTTGCTTATTGGACTTGAGCACATTGCGCAGTGTAATGATTTGCTCACGCTTCACAGACAACAAGCTCTTCAGCTTCACAATTTGCTCCTGCAGCTCCTCCACCTCCTCGGTGTTGCCCTTATCGGAAGCTGTAAAGGGAAAGAGAGAGTGAGTTATGAGGGAGGCTTAGCCCATATGGGATTTGTGTTTGTTTACATTCTCCGCCCTCAGCGCGCACTTTGTGCTTGTTCAGATCGATGGTGTGCTCCACAGCGGTCTTCAAATGCTTGATTTGATCGCTCACTGTGTCCACATACTTCTTAATCTCCACGGAATCGGCCAGGCCCTGCAGATCCTCAACGATTTGCGGGCGTGCGGTGAATACATCCGATTTGAACTGCGACTGAATGGCAGTCAAGGAATCGTTCTCGAAGCTGAAATGAAAACATTCAAGTTATTATGAATGGTTTCAAATGAAATATGTAAATTTCCATTTACCTCATGTCGTCGGTCTTGTGATCCAGCAGCACACGTGACGGCGTCTCGCCGTTCACCGTGCAGACCAGATGATAAAGCTGAGCCAAGTCATCGCTGAGTGCGACCAAAGTGCTGCGAGCCGAGCCCAAGCTCTGACCCGCGTTCTGTGAGATGTGCGTCAGGGTCTGCACATCGCTCTGCAGATCCAGCGACTTTTGCTCGGTGGAGAGCAGCTTGTTCTTCAGATTTGTCACCTCGTTGCGCAACGTGGTGGTGGCATCCGTGTAGTTCAGGCCCTTTTGCAGCTCAGCTATATCAGTCTTGAGGCCGTCTATTTCCTTGGCGGAGAGTGTAAACCAATTGGCATATTGTGTGATAATGCTGCGCAGCTGTTGCTGCAGCTGCTGCTCGTCCTCCTTGGTCTGTCTGTCCTGGTCCTTGACGTCGATCTGTTTCTTCAGCTGCACCAGCGCATCGACATGGGCGGCCAGCAGGGCGAGGCGCGACATAAAGTTTTGCAGCTCATTTTGTGACTTGTCCAGACTGCTTTGCGCTTCACGCAAATTCGTCGTCAGATGCGCTTTCTCGTTCTCCATGCTCTCCAGCTGCTTCTCCAGCTTCTTCAGCTCGTTGAGATGAATCTCCGAGAAGAGATCACATTTGGTGCCATCGGGCGATTTGAGTTCTGTGCTCAAATCCGCCTCGAGACGTTTGAGCGCCAGATTCTCCTCCTCCCCGTCCGAGTTATTGCTGGCATTGTCCTCCATATTGCTGCGTATGCTATATGCCAAATTGCTAATGTGAAACATGGACTCGCGATTCAAATGGCCATCGAGCTCCTTTTTCAGCGCATATTTGGCCTCACGCTCGCCCTAAAAGAAGGATTTCAGAATTTAGTCAAAGACAGCTCCAGATTTCCGCATTTATTTCCTCCCACACACCTGCAGTGCTTCGAGCGCCTCCTCCATTTGCTTCTCGGCAATCTTTTTGAGATTCGCCAGCTCATCGACCTGTTGATTGAGCAGCTCCACCTCCTCGGTCAGGCGACGTATCTCATGTTTGGCACCCTCGAACTCCACCTGAAAGGCAACGAAGGTGCAAATGTCTCAAGTCTAACCAAATTTCTATTCCAATTCAAATGAACTCACCTGCGAGCTTCTCAAGCTGGACACCTGCTTCTGCAACGATATGTTCTCCTCCTCCAGCTCTGAGTATTCGCTGAGCATACGCGTCTCACGAAATTTCAGATCCTTCAGCTCTGATTTGAGACGCAGTCGCTCCGCCTCATTATCGCTCTTATCGCGTCCAATGTCCGAGTTCTCCTGCAGCATGCGATCCCGCTCATTGCGCACGCGCTCCAGCTCATGGCGCAGCTGCTTGGCCTCGTTCTCCAGATCGAGTATCTGCAGATTGAGCGATGTCTCACGAGCGGCCGACTCATTGAGCAGCGTCTCCTCCTGCTCGATGCCGGTCTTGTTTGTGACCTTCTGTGAGGTTTGGAATTTTGTGAGCGCCTGTAAATGTGAGAGAAAGTAGTAAGAATTGAGTTGGATGTCGATAGAAAATATTCATATACTAATTAAAGCATTACTAGAGCTACCTTTCCTCATCTTTCAGAATTCTTTGATGGAGGAATTGCTAAGAAATTGTTGGTTGATGATGCTATTCCATATAATACTAATAGAATATTTAGTTGAAATGTATTAATCAAAGTAGTTTCATATCGTAATTTCACCTGCAGCTTTAACCATTTCAGATATTCATTCCCTCTCCCTCCCCCCTTAAGTTATCGCTGCTTCTCTCACTCTAACCGACTCGCTCGTGTATCAGGGGTATTGCAATCATAAAAGTTGCCAGCCTCCCATTTTTATTGCAGTCATTTGCATGTGTAAGTTGTGTAGGTGAGCGAGAGGGGGCGGGGTCGTAGTCAATGGGGGCGTCAGTCACTGGGGAGCTCTGCCTGTGCGTTGGTCTGTTGCTGACGAAACGCCCCTCGTTTCGCTTTGTTACATTTTTCATTAAATGGCGCAGATATTTTCCTTCATTTTTTTTTCTTCTTCTTTTTTTTTTTTTTTTTTTTTTGGCATTTTCCCTTTATTACAGATCTCCCAATGGACGTGTAGATGGAGCAAGTGCATCTCAAAGTTGGATTTGCTCTTGTTCGCATTTATTGGATTTTGTTCGTCCTCGTGTATTGTTGTTGCTTAATTGTGCCGGGCAGTGTTGGAAAATGCGTAACGGGCGCACGTGCTCGTTAAGCTTAATAGGCGCAGGACACGCCCAGGACGTGGCAAAGAGGTAAATATGTATGTTATCATGGATGCACTTGAAGAAATTTTCTAGTAATACACATTTATTTAAAAATTAAGTTTTTTTTTTATATAAAACTAATGTACCATCTAAAGACATTCTTGTAAATAAATCGTGTATGCACTATATGCATATGGACATATATCTATGTCATCGATATCGTTCACATGTCGTTTTTGTATAGCCCATCAAATTTCAAATTTCTTTATAAGGATCTGAATGTTAAGATTCTATCTCTCTCTCCTTCTCGAAAAGCATCTACGTTTAGGTAAATAGATATTTCTATATTAACTTCTGGAATACTATTATATTATTACAATTAAATATTATCATCTTTGGTATGCTGAATCTAATATATAATAAATCTATAGAATTTTTAGTGTATAATATTTACTGATGAATGTTATCTATATAATAATATTGTATACAATTATATACGCTGTACTATTAAAATGGTTAAAACAAGGAAATATCTATATAAATATATAATTCATCTTCAAATATATATATCTCAATATATATCTAAATTTGCCCTCTCTACATGTATATGAAACTTTGCTCTCTTCATACTGCTCAACACTTGATTGCCTATTAAATTCAATCACTCTGAGTATTTTCTACTAAAAGTGCCCCACATTTGTTCTCAGTGTACACACGTTAAACGTATATTAAAGCATTCCAGCCAAGCCCTCGCCCGATGCCTGTGCAGTCATAAAAGCGCGCCTGATTGAAGGCATGCGACGTGCCCATATATGCCCAGCCGCAGCGAGTGGGTGGCCGGGTGGTTTCTGGAGTGTTGGCGTTGGGTGGTGGGCGTGGCTAAGCTGTAATCGTGTTTTGCGGACTTTAATTGAAATCTCGCCGGCACTGTCGTTAGTTGGGCACATTTGAGGTACGTGCACACGGCACACGGGCCGGCAACTGCGGAGCTGACCATGAGATTTGGTGGATTACAGTGCAGCGGAGCAGATTCTTGAAATGCTTCAAATGCTACTGCAATTAGTCAGCTTTTTCTTGACAAAAGCCCACAGCTGTGAAAGGAAATAGCCCGCAGCTGCTAGCCCTTTTGGCCACTTCACTAGCCCCGCCCGCCCTGCCACGCCTCTGGCTAGTTGGGCTCGCTTTGTGATCATTGTCAATGGCCGTGGGCGACGTCAACGCTTTTATTTCATTTCGTTTCGTTTCGTTTCGTTTATATTCCGCATTTCTCTCTTTTCAGTTTCTTCATTTGTGTTTTCTTTTTCAATTCGAGCTGGCGGCAAGTGCATTTCGTTAATTAGTGTGGCAGGGCTCTGGAAGCAAACAAAAGGCCAAGCCGAGTGGCAGTTAAGCTCGAAATTCGAGAACTCAAGAGATGACGCCAAACCGTGGCGCCACCTAACCCTATATATATGATACTATAAATACATATGCATGTATATGTAGTTGTTTATACATATACGAGCAGCGTCAACTCTTTGCTCAGCGCTTCGAATGTAATTTGAGCAGCTGCTAAATGCTTACAAAACTCTTTATCGCAAGGGGCTGACTCTAAAGGACCTAGTGGCGCCATCTATTGTTCATAGTTTTTGTTGCCTGAGGGACTTTTATTTTTGGAGAGCTATTAAAATCTAGTCAGTTTAACCAAGTTTTTTAATGATTGTTAATTAAGTTAGAATATTTTGTCGATTGTCTAACTTTATATTGTTTTGTAAATGAAAATTGATGGAAGTAAACTAAATTACTTCCGGCTTTATATGTAGGTATACCATTTTTTGTTTAAACTGAGGCTGAGTTGGCTCAAATATACAAAAATCCAGTTCAAGTATAGTTCAGCAAGTGCATTAAATTTTAAAGTACTCTTAGCTTTAGGCCTATGAAAATACACTTAAAATTGTGAATAAATTTGTGTAGGCTTTAAAAGGCTCTGCATAAATGCATAAGCTGAGCTCATTACAAAATTTCATTAAAATATACGTTTTATAAAAAAAATTTTCACTGCATCTCTCGAGAAAGAGAGCTCGATCATGGCTCTAGATCGAGCTCTCTTTCTCTAACTGATTCTCGATCCTTATCTCATACTTTCTGTCCCTCTCTTTACCTTACTGACTTCTCACTTACACCTAATAATACTTTACGCCAATTTCAATCGTGTTCTTTAACTCTCTATTTCTATACACCTCTCCATTTTTCTTTGACTGTTTGTTTAATCTCTCTCTTACAACGCCTCTTTCTCTTTTTATTTTCTCTCTCTGTCTCTGTCTCTTACTAATTGTCTCACGCTCTCTCTCTTACTATCCGCTTCTCTCTAAGTAGCTTAGTCCAATCTGTATCTCTGCCTGACTACCTCTATTTCTCTCACTTTCTCTGCATTTTTCTCTGTCTGTACGTTCCTTCAGTGCCTCCAACATAAATTCTTCTCCAAATTCATAATCTCCAGCGGCATCTATGCACTGGCAGCGGCAACAGTTAGCCACAAAAACCACATTAAATGACACCCCGACATGAACTTTATGCAAATTAGAAAAGATTTTTAATTAAGTCGAGCAAATATTAGCACAGGCGAGGTGCGGCGAGGCGAGGCGTGGCGAGGCGTGGCGTGGCAGGAAGGCAGGACTCGCCGTGGCAACAGAGGTGTGTCCTGTGCAACGTCGCCTGACTCACGTCACCCCCTGCCCCAGCCCCCACCTGGTCGATTGCAACGCACAGGCATTGTCTGTTTGTGGCTTGGTTTTGTGTGTGTTTGTGTGTGTGTCAGCAGCATCTAAATGGCCCAAAATGAAGTTTCGGCCAGGTCCGCATTGATGTTTCAACAGCTGCCACAGCTGCTGTCAGCCTGTCCGCCGTCCGTCGTCTGCTGTCTGCCGTCTGCCGTCGGCCCGTTGCACTGCTTCACAATTGCCGGCTACTAAAAATAGAGAGCAGATTGCCCACATTATGACAACGGGCAGCAGCGCTGGCAAACAAGCAAACGAGCGAGCTGTAACAATTTCCTACCACAGCCGGCGTAGGCGGTGGTCGCCCCGCCACGCCCTGCTCTGTCGCCCCAGCACCTGTGCTGATAAAGTATGCCATGAATGACTGAACAGTTTGTTTGGGGCATAGGCAAAGCGACAATGACGGCCACAGCAGCAACACCAGCGCACGACTGAAATTAGCTAGTGGCGCGTGATCGACTTGCAGATGCCCTGTAGACTTGGCTTTAGAAGGAATGATAACGATATATAATCAGATTTAGTTGCAGAGTCATTAATCTATATCGATTTTCTATCACTTTTATATATTTCAGAAGAGTATTTATTATTTCAAATGTTCAACTAGGCTTTATACTCCCGTACCAATGTTTCTTCTCATATCTCCAAGCATTCTGCAAAAATATTTTTGCAGCCTATTTTATCACCATGGTTTTCATTCTACAAAGAGCTTAGAATCAATTTTTGCCAAATCTTGAAAATCTGCTCAATGATAAATATCGGATTACTATCTCGTCTTCCGATAGAAAAAGCTCATTAGAGTTTACTGTCTTCTATAAGCATAACTTCTTTTAATGGGAAATATTTTAAGTGTAGCAGTAAGTATAGCAAGCATACTTTTTTCTCTCCCTTTAGAACAAGTCTTCGTGAGAGATAAAAGGCTCCTCTGAATTACGAAAGTGCAGATGAATTTAGATGCATAAGATTCCATAAGAAAATAATGTAATCAACGTAGAGCTTTATCTAAATGCACTGAGAATTGGCAGAGAACTACGAGGTTCATTAACTTAAAACATGGGAAAAATAGAACAGATTCTACACATAGAATATAAATATATAATATAGTCTTGTCTGATTCGTCTATCAGATATATATATACAATATATACCTCAGTTATTTAATTTTTCAATAAACCCCACATATATTCGTATTACAGGGTATTGTGGCTCATCACCCCAACATGGAAATAACAATCAGTGGCAATGCAAACAAACAAGAACAACTGCTGCTACTGCTCTTGATGCCCTGCTGTAGGCTGTCGTGTAATTTCTTAACCCGCACACAAACACACGCATACACACACACACACACACACACACACACACACACACACGCACACACCGATACACACAGACAGAGTGAGATTACAAACACCATAAGCTGGGGGGATGCGGACGCACTTGTGGCCTCCATGTCAATGCACGCATTTGACACTCTCTGAATTTGAAATGTCGCCAAAATGAAAATAAGCA